TGTAGATGACAAGTTAATCGTAATCGGATCGTAAGTTCCCTTATATAGCCCCATCCTGAGAAGATCTTCAGCGCTTCTTCGGAGTGCGTAGAACGCCGAAGATCACCACCTATCCGAATGGGAAACCTCGAACATATTTTTTTATCGCTTATAACTAATTAAAGATACAAAAAGAATTAACAAGACTTCCAATTTTGGGGTATTTTTAAATGGTTTTTGAGCTTATTATTAATGATAATGTTGAAGAATGAACTCCAAATAAGTGAAGTTAATTATATTTGTATATAGTCACAGTACTAACAGTTACACTTCACTGTTTCTATTATGTACCTTGGTAACCAAGCCTCAGCCATCTTGTTTTTTTTTATTGGCAATACATAAAAGTCGCCAATTTTAGTTAAACATATTTCAATCTTACAACTATACAACTACTTTCGTTTATTCAGTCTCGTATTAGCTTACTTTACAATTCACCCCAAGCCAGCTGGTTTTATACCTATTAGTGTAGGTTTGTCATATTTTTTATTACTGTACCTTTGCTTAGAGGGACATATGCACCATTATCGTACCTTAGTCTCAGAAACGAGAGACAGAAGCCAATCAGTAGTAGTGTTCATAACTCACTGTCGAAATTTAAGCCTTCAAATCCATGTGTGTCCAGAATTATCCGCTTTTGAAAGTTAAAAAGACGAGTCGTCTTTTTCTTGAGACACTGTCATATAGCCAAAAACAACTATAGAAATAGGAAAATAAATTCATAGTGTGAGATATTTTTGAGGAATTTCGTACATTTCTAGTACTTCTGAAGACTGTTTACATATATTCAGGACTCAAATCAACGCCCCAAAATGGCGCATCTGTTCTATAAGTGAGTTATTATTTATATTTCTTGTTAAATAGATCCATACATAGCGTCTACAGTTACTTTTCATATTCCACTTATGACTTAGTTGTTCATCAGTATTGACATTTTAGAATTCCGGTTTTTAGAGTACATAATTATTATATTTCCATTAAAATATTTTCACTGTTAATATAGAGCTCAATACATCAATTGTATAGAGCGAGATGTCTACATGTCGAAACATTGTCTATCTCGAAATAGACAATTCTACTAGTCTGACTTCAGTAGGGACGCAGGCTGAAATTAGGTCGGTTGTCTGAAGATCGCATAGCGTGAAACAAACATGATTGTAGGTCTGTTTTAATATTTCTATTGTATATTTATTTCCTGGTTTTAATTTTATTCTTAATTATACTTTTTTGACTCGATTTGATTGGTTTAAAAAAAATGCATTAAAGTGTTATTTGCAAAATTACATCGCAGACGAAATCAGACTATCAAAAATGTCTAATTATAATAAGATTGTATCTTATGTTAAGTTTTTTGTTCTGGGAGATTTCTGAAAACGAGTAGGCCTAAGAATGGTTTTATAATAACACAGAAATTAACTCTATATGAATAAGAGGGCGATTGTACTAATACTATTTAAATGTAATTGTCTCCCTTTCATCGCCATTTTGACTGTAGACCACACTCACCAATAAATGTGAATTATATCAAGTATAGTCATTATCTGTTACTTTATAGAACTAATTTTTATATATCTCTTACTCCGTGTCATAAAGAATAACAAAGCATTAGCGAAGAATGAAGTCCAAAATTACTATGTGGTTTTGTAACACAAGATACATTGCCATTTGGATTTTGTCTTTCAAGGGATGTATCCTATACCACAGTTGTTAAAATATCTTTAAGCAGATTCTTCTTTACCTTTCGATCATCGTGATTTGTGTGTCTGTGATAATCTGTTGAAGGTTATCTGTCACGTTGACGTTGCCCAAGTTTTAGGTTGACCATGTTATAGTTAGATTATGGGGCCGAGGGGCTAAACTTTCATACCAACAGAAAGTCATGACAGTGTCACAATTGAGGATTGGCCACAGTGGATTTAACGGCAGGTTGCATTCATTCTCTCTTTATTCCATTTAAACATCGTGCAATGTATGTTTACTATTTCCTTACCACACCAGTTTTTGTGTTCTCAGTTGTTCAGTTATGTGATAACAATTTCAGTTTATATTTAACCGTACCATATTGAATTGATGAACGTGGTGTGAGCTGTCCAAGCTATTTAATATCTGGTTAAACAACCCCTCCTTCATTGCTAGAGTAAGGTCATCTTCACAATGTCAAGCTATTATGAACTTCGTTTAATACCTTGACCTAATTGAGCGCTTTATTTGTTCCACGGGATGCCACGATTGGATTGTAGGCTAGCTAATACAGCCAATCAGGTCTTCGACATACAGACTGTAAAATTCATGGCCTCTTGTTCACCAACCAAATCGCTGGACAGAATAACTTGAATGATACAAGAAAAGTGCTTTATGAATTAGGTATTAGACGCAATTTGTAGTAGCTGGACATCGTGGAGATTCAATAAGGTATGATACGACCAGACTAGCTGGCAGGGTTACAGAAGAACATCATGGCTTTATGGTATGCTTTTACGTGAGTCTATTTATCAGGACCTGGTTTAATTATTTTGTGGTCTGTAGTCGTCTATTGAGTTGCGTTGAAAGCTTGTATGGTAATGAGCTGACTTGCCGGTTTCCATTAAAACGTGAAACGTGATAACGGCAATGAATGACATATTAGAAGTAGAATATTGAATAAAGCTACAAGTTCTAGATTCTGAAGAGGAGAGATAAGAAGTTCAATTGTTGGCTTTTATTATTTTATCTTCTTTATCCCAAATCAATAATCTTCTTTTAAACGGATATTATAAACTTGATGGTCGAACAACAGAATGTTTAAATAAAAACTAGGTAATTAGTGAAACTAATAACTTCTATTCTTTCTAAAACAGCTTAGAATATTTTAAATCCCCGGCAGATTAGTCCTACTCTCTATAGACTATCCTAAAATACAGTATTGCATGAGGTGGGTAGTTAATTGAAGATGTTGAGAAAAACTTTGACAAATTGTGTAATCTACCATCCGTCGTATTAGATTTATCTCTTCATTATACCACTTGTTTTCAACTTCAACGTGTAGAAATGGCATAACTATAGACTTGTCTCGTTCTTCTATTCTATAGATCGAACATATCAACTTTCTATTGTCAATCTGTTCTTCATGACTAGAATATCAACTAGACGACTTTTTGTTGATGTATAATGAGTTTTTGATGGGTATTGCTTGTCTATAATTAGACCAGTTCATGTGTTAATCAACTTGCGAAGATTTGATCTAAACTTGACACTTTGATCGTATTTCCAAGTCTACAGCGTGGTAAAGACAAAGTGATAATGGAGATTGTAGCTAGATAAATGTAGTCAAGTTGATTCCGCTGAAATCTGTTATTAAGGACAGTTAATTAGCTTTCTTAAGTAGAGAAGTTAATGATATCTTGTAGGTGTTTGCTTGCACGTCACAAAGTCTTTTCAAGTATAACAATTTATATTAGCTAGAACCGATACTATTATTCTGACCATTGACAAGGTCATTTCCGTCAATTATTGTGTGTATGAGAGACAAAAGTCAGTAGGTATTAACAGTTAACCACAGGCACAAAGTTCTCATAACCTTCACCGGAAATATCTCAAGGTCAGATTGCTGACCACTGTGTTTTATGTCCGCACCGAGAATGCAACACAAGGGACTCTAAATCCAACTACTCTTATGATTTATTCCATTTGACAAACACTGTAGCCTACATTATGACATACAGTTCTAATAAATGTAATCTAATTTGTGGTAAAATCTTTCGAGCTGTAACGAGTATTCTTCACGTTTTTTGGCAAGGACAAGAGTTATATATTTTAAAGGAATACTACCTCTAAGAATGAAAAAAAAAAGTAGATTTCAAAATTCTTCAAAAGAGTTTATATTCATCTTTGGACCTACCCTGAGCCATAACTGACATTGTTAATTGGCTATAACCCGATTACATCGGCTTAAGTGTACTATGATACACCCAGTAATCCTATTGTTCTCAAAATCCATTTTTTTGACAAAATTCCCACGAAGTCACCGTTTTTGGTTTCTACATGGTTAATTAAGACCCAAGCGGTGACTTCGTGGGCATGAACCGAATATACACGTATACTCTTGGAAGCCACGTTTGAGAAGTTGAATTTGTGTACATTCTAAGAGTTAATATCCTTTTAAAGCCCAGATTAAATTAATAATCTTCAAATGTCAAGATCTAAAATATGATATACATTAACATACCATTAAATCAAAACTGAAGTATGTATTGCATACACAAACCATAGTCTAAGTGTTAGGGCATTAAGTCAAAATCAAATCAGTCATTAAAACATTAGGGGAATTCCACAGATGCGAAATATCGCAATTTAAAACCGCTAAGCTAAGCTGAATTGAGATCAGATCAAAATTTCAGCCTTATTCAAAATGTTAACAGACGTTCGAACGCCTGGAAGATCAGTGTGACGACATTACTTACTGGCTATGTAGGCGTGTATATATAAAAACCATTGTTTTCAATCATCGACTTTTTCAGAATGTCAAGTAGATATTTATTCAAAGCAGAATTCATTGACAAGAAATATGTATCATATCGGATGGATAGAAGGCTGTGTGACGTCGTTTGCGCTTGATGGGGATTGGAAAATATGATTAGTAACCATTAATATATGGTTAAACACTCCCTGGCTTTGTTTTTATTTAATTGTTAGAATCAGTAAAACTCTTTCGCTCATAAGGCCGGAAGCCATGGGGGTGCTTGGGGGTAAAATCTTTGTTATAAAACAAATAATCCTGAGCCTTAAATTCGTCGGAAAATGTCAGGAAATCGCGTTTCCGGGCGTCTGATTCTCAAAATTTTCTAAGCGACACACCTCAGACCGAATACAAATAATCTTGAACCCTAATTTCGTCGGGAAATGTCAGGAAATAACGTTTGTGGCGACTATTTCTAAAAAATTTCTAAGCGGCATTATACTACAGACCCTATACAAATATATTGAACCTGAAATTCGTGGGAAATGTCAGGAAATCGTGCTTCCGGGCGTCTAATTCTCAATATTTTCTAGGTGACAACCCTCAGACCCTATACAAATAATCTTGAATGTTAAATTCGCTGGGAAATGTCAGGAATTTTCGTTTCCAGGCGTCTTATTCTCAAAATGTTTCTAAGCGGCATACAACAGACCCAATACAAATAATCTTGAACGTTAACTTCGCTGGGAAATGTCAGGAATTTTCGTTTCCAGGCGTCTTATTCTCAAAATGTTTCTAAGCGGCATACAACAGACCCAATACAAATAATCTTGAACGTTTACTTCGCTGGGAAATGTCAGGAATTTGCCTTTCCAGGCGTCT